TTTTTAACAGTAAATTAAAGATTCTGGCCACTGTGCAGCGAAGCTGGGACAGCGAAGACTAGGGACAGGAGGAACAACTCGGCTGTTTGCCCACATGGAGCAGTGGGCTACATTGTGCCAAATAACATAAAATATGTACAGTTGAGCAAGTGTTTCATAGTTAGCGCTTGAGTTGGTTTCAAGAGATTTTTTAAAGAAAAAGTAGAAAAAAGAATTCTTGTAGTCAAGGTAAATCATTTTAGATATCTTGGAAATACATTATAAATACATCCAAAAAATAGGTTTTCCATTTTTATTTAATTAATTTGTATGTTAGGGTCGTTTTATGGATACCTTAGGGACATTTTTAGAACAAATCAAGGATATTCTAACCCTTAAGATAATATAGACATACAGTGGATATCCTTAGGACGTCCTGAGGACATCCCTAATTATTCCAGGGATATCCTTGGGATATCCTTAGGACGTCCTAATAATATCCGAAGAAATGATTAGGATATCCCTCGGACGTCCTAGGGACATCCTTAGATATCCCTGGGATATCCCTAGCATATCCTAACCGCCGCTACTTTGGATATCCTTAAAGTATCCTTAGGATATCCCTGGGGTATCCCTAGGATATCCAAGGGATGTTTTTGGAATATCCTAGGATATCTGGTGCTGTGAGGTCTCTCATAACAAAAGGATATCCAAACTGCCGGTCTGTGGGACATCATCAGGACATCTATAGGATATCCACAGGATATCCCTAAGACATCCACAAAATATCTATTGGATATTATATCGCAGGATATCAATGGGATATCCTCAGGATGTCCGTGGGATATTCTTAGGATATTCACGGGATATTTAATATCTCAACATATATTTTTAAAGGTTAAAATTGTTAAGCTAATATAATGAATAATAATATAATAAAAACATAAATCTTATGAGCTTCTAATTTATTTTAAATGAAGATTTGAAACGCATTTTTCAAAGTTTTTAAATAAACTCATGCACTTAATGTATAATTAATATTAATAGTTATTCGTTATTTTCGGGGAAGAATTTATATTGTTTAAAGCCAATTTATTTTCTGACAATATTAAGCATATGAATAAAGGAATGAATCACGAATGAGAAAAAAATTAGTTAATGATTTTTCAAATTAAACAACTTTCTCGAAAAACAAGTTGCATTTTATTTTATTTATATAAAATTTAATTTATAGACTATTCTCACTCGTAGTCTCATAATGACTTTAAAAACAGTATCCTGAGAATATCTTCTTGACATCCAGAAGATATACTGAGAATATCCTGAAAATATCTGTGGGATATCCTGACGATATCTATGGGATATCCTGATGATATCTGTGGGATATCCTGACGATATCTATGGGATATCTGGAGGACATTTATGAAAGTTTATAGAGATATCCAGAAGTTATCCTGTGGATATCCTCAGATATCCATGGGATATCCAAAGGATATGCAAACCGCCGATTTTTTGGATATCCTTAAGAGATCCTTTTGATATCCATAGGACATCCCTAGGATATCTGCGGGATATTATCAATATATCCCAAGATATCTTGTGTTATTAGGGTCAATGAGTACTCGAACCCCCGTCCTCGAGACTCAAAAATTTCCGCCTTAATTCTCTGAGCTATATTAGCAGCTTATGGTATTGTACATTGGAAACATATTTGACGAAACCAATCCCTGCCTAGCGCTTGGTTACTGTACTGCGTCTTCTAAAACAGTTCAAGAATCTTTTAGAGCCCAGTGACTGAGATATTCCTATCGCGGCATTAATAACAAGTCTTTCAATGTCATAATAAAAATACGTGTATTTTCTTGAATGATTTTTGTATTTTTTGTAATTTTTGTAGAATTTTTCTCATATCCTCAGTTCCTGAACAAATGTAGGAATATTTCTTGAACAAAGTTTTTCCATGTACGCTGAGAATTACCCATAAATTCATTACTGCTTGCTCAAAAATATCAAAAGCTAGAAGTCATTAAGAAAATCCGTACTGTATTTGACAGTAACGATTTTCTTCATGGCTTCTAGCTTTTGACATTTTGGAGCGAGCAGTAATAAAATTAAACAATGTTACTAACAAACATTGAGTATTATTTCTGACACTTTTAAATTTAATACTTGACAACTTCATAAAGAATTGATTCATAATTAGAAATCGAATTGATTAATATTTAACTGTTTCAAAGTAAATAAAGTATTATAAAAAGTAAAAAATACACAAAAATCACCTTTATTCGTAAATCCTTCTACCCATTTTTTTCATCTTAGATTCAAATTACTCAGAAAATAATGTGGAATTAATATCTGAAGAGAGCCGAGATGGACAAGCAGTTGAGGCAAAATTCCTGAAATGTCCGAACAAAAAATTAAAAGTTCTCGAATTTAATCCATACTTTTCTAAAATGTTGTTATTGTTGGTAAAAGTCTAAAAATCAATTATTATTGAATTTAATAAAATAGTTTTTAAATTACAACGTTTTTAATTTTTGACTTTTGAAAAAAAAATTTTTTTTCAATGTACAATATTTATAAGTAGAATGCATAAAAGTTAACATATATATAATGATTTTTAAAGCTTTTTTGACGAGCTACACGCTGTTAATAAAAATTTTTTTTTTAAATAACATTTGACCTTGAAATTCAAGGTCAAAATGTTAATTTACATTTATCTCAAAATCGGATTTTTTAAAATTATTTTTAACTATCTCAATGGAAAGCTTGACTAATTTCCTACAAAACATGTAATTTTCAGAGTGGGATCTTTTAAAGTTTTTGAGATATTAATTAATTAATTAATTAATGTTTATAACAAATGAAATATTTTACAAACGAATAAAGTTACCGTAATTCTGAAGTTAGTAATTGAAAGTTAACGTAATTCCGCATCCAACGAGCCCTATATGAAGTATTTTGGATAAGTAGATTGTTAATAAACAATTAGTTAACATTGCAATTGTTTATTAACAATCTACTTATACAAAATACTTCATATAGGGCTCGTTGGATGCGGAATTAGCTTAACTTTCAATTGGTAAGTTCAGAATTACCATAACTTTATTTGTTTGTAAAATATTTTATTTTTTACTAACAAGAAGCATCCAAAAGCCCTATATGAAGTATTTTTGTTCAATTTTAGTTAAATAACAATAAAAAATGAAATATCTTACAAACAAATAAAGTTATCGTAAATCTAAACTTACCAGTTGAAAGTTAAGCTAATTCCGCATCCAACGAGCCCTATATGAAGTATTTTGGATAAGTAGATTGTTAATAAACAATTGCAATGTTAACTAATTGTTTATTAACAATCTACTTATCCAAAATACTTCATATAGGGCTCGTTGGATGCGGAATTACGTTAACTTTCAATTACTAACTTCAGAATTACGGTAACTTTATTCGTTTGTAAAATATTTCATTTGTTATGAACATTAATTAATTAATTAATTAATATCTCAAAAACTTTAAAAGATCCCACTCTGAAAATTACATGTTTTGTAGGAAATTAGTCAAGCTTTCCATTGAGATAGTTAAAAATAATTTTAAAAAATCCGATTTTGAGATAAATGTAAATTAACATTTTGACCTTGAATTTCAAGGTCAAATGTTATTTAAAAAAAAAAAATTTTATTAACAGCGTGTAGCTCGTCAAAAAAGCTTTAAAAATCATTATATATATGTTAACTTTTATGCATTCTACTTATAAATATTGTACATTGAAAAAAATTTTTTTTTTCAAAAGTCAAAAATTAAAAACGTTGTAATTTAAAAACTATTTTATTAAATTCAATAATAATTGATTTTTAGACTTTCACCAACAATAACAACATTTTAGAAAAGTATGGATTAAATTCGAGAACTTTTAATTTTTTGTTCGGACATTTCAGGAATTTTGCCTCAGTTTTGGGTTAAAGTTAGTCCAAGCCTACTGTTTCTAATTATTTAATAATAAGAGCTTACTAACCCCATAATATTATACAAATAAACTAAAAAATCATTAATTTATACTTCCCAATAACAAATGTTTTAGTATTTCAATTATTTTTCACAATATATTGCCTCAAACCCAATCAAACCGAAACTTGACCGAGCTCAGTCAACTTCTCAGTTTTCACAATCCGCTAGGGATAATAAAAATTTATAAATTCACATTTTAGTTAAAAAAATTTGTGTTTATTTAAATTCAAGTTTATACATAGAATAATTGTATTCCTTGCATTGAAACGAATCGATTGGTATATATAAAGCACCGTCCGATAAAATTCAATTTTTTTTGACCCAGAAAAAATCCAACATTTTCGGAAACTAGCACAAAAAAAATACCCGTGTCTGGCCGTTTTACTAGATTAAGTCGTTTATGGTTAAAAATATCTGGGGTTTTCGGGGTCGCTGATTATTAATCTGATGTCAGAGTTTCAAAATTCAAAATGGCGGATCCAATATAGCGGTCAAAAATTTAAAAAGTTATTAATTTTTTTTTATATCCGCCATTTTGAATTTTGAAAATCTGACATCAGATCAATAATCAGCGACCCCGAAAAGGAATCCCTACTTGTTTTTATTTACAAACTTAAAATTAATCAAATATTTCCTTAGGTACAGACAATAAAATTCATATAAATTTAGTATTAGAATCGGAAGTTTCGATCATTTTTTTTGTACGTCTTCTGAATTTTAAAAAAAGAATACACTTACCTCAATAAAAATTTCAAACAACTAATGATAACTGAGGTTTAATATAAATGAACTCATAACATTTAGAAAAGGTGCTACAGGCTCATATTTTTACTGTCTCCCTTTGGTTTTAAGGAGATTACATTTATGATAAATGTCGCGCTTCTTCAATGAGCCACTAACTACCCTTGCCCCATCCTTCCCTATTCGTATTTTAAACAATAATACAAAATTTTGATGCTGTTTATAATAATTTATTTAATTAACTAAATGATTTTTTAATCTGTTTTTTGTAGAAGGTACTCCAGTAGTATAACTGTAATGACTGGAATCACAGATCTGGATAGTTTTGGTGATGCATATGAGGGAGAATTAAAAATTATACACGAGGATTATGAGAGTCATGAACATGAAAACGATATTGGTTTATTAAAAGTAATGTCAGATATAATTTTTAATGAAGAAGTTCATCCCATCAAATTACTGTCTAAAGAATTACAAGGAGAAGGATACATTGCAACTTTAACTGGGTGGGGTAGAACTTACGTACGTATTTTTTATATAAAACTGTACATATATAATGAAATTATATATAGAATCATGTTCTCCCTTTTGAAAAATTCTATAAAGGATCAAATATGCGATCCTATATTTATTTCCTTCTTAAATTCTCTGTCATGTTCTTGTGTGAATAAATGTATAGGTTTCTGTAAATGATCCTGTAAGGAACTTGTGTAGAATCCAGCATGGTTTCCTGCATTTTTGAATTGTTAACAACAAAGGACCTCATGATAATTCTTACGCAAGAAATTGTGTAAGATTCTGTACAGTGTATTTTTTAAACAACATGCAATACAGAAACCTTCGTAGGATTCGAAACATAATCTTACTCAGGGTTGCTACGCTACTTGAAAAAGTCAGTGAATTTTAATTGGTATAGAATAGTAAGAAAAAAGTCAGGAAAAAATATTTTGCACTTGGAAAATAAGTTATATATACTTTACTGTTCTTGTCTTACACACACGTTTACTTGCTTATACACGGAGAGAAGAGTTACGGTTGTGGCTACGAAACTTGTTTAGTAGCCTAAAATATTCTCATGACAACTTTACAAGCAGTTATTGTAACTAAACAGATTTGAGTTCCGTTTAGTTCACGATACTCAACAGTGTTTTTGGCCTCACTCTCTTGTGAGTGAATGCTACGCTACACCATAAAATCATGGTTTTTTGAGATTATCTCGTAAAAAACGCAAAACTTCAAAAAAAGGGGTATACTTCCGAAGTAGGGGTACCTCCGATTTTAATAAACCTTAGTATACTAACGTATTTTGGTGCGCTGATTACGAAAATGATAGTGAAAATTGGCGCAAATTTGATTATCATGGAAAAAAACACCATAAAATTATGGTTTTTTGCGATTATCTCGTAAAAAACAAAAAATTTCGAAAAAAGTTTTAGACAAAAGTTGTAGATCTCAAAAAAACACACATTTTATGTTTTATGCATTTTTTACCAAAAGTCATTATTTTTCGAGAAAAATCCAAAAAACGATCAAAAACGCAACAAAATGATGGAAAAGTAGTAACTAGAGAGGAATTTGATAGTTGTAAGTAAACTAACGTATTTTGGCGCGCTGATTACGAAAATAATAGTGAAAATTGGCGCAAATTGGATTATCATGGCGAAACCGGGCGAGAGGGTGTGGATATGGCCGAAAGTATTTAGCAGGTATTGTGGGGTGGAGTCTACAGCAGCGGTGAACGCAAAATAGTAAATACGGCCTTCGGCAGCGTAAGGTACTGCTCGCTTCTCTTTTTAAGAAATCTTGGCGAGAGGGGGTGGATGTGTCCGAAAGTAATTTGCCTAAATTGTGGGGTGGAGTCTACAGCAGCGGTGAACGCAAAATAATAAACACGGCCTTCGGCCGCGTAAGGTACAGCTCGCTTTTCTTTTTAAAAAAACCTTGGCGAGAGGGGGTGGATATGGCCGATAGTATTTTGCGGAATTCGTTGGATCCTGAGTAATGGTGAATATGATACTATATACGAGTCAAATAATATGTCTAACCATGACTGTTGTATATGTTTTCATTATCATGGTGTTTTTGGTTTTTTGGATTTTTCTCGAAAAATAATGACTTTTGGTAAAAAATGCATACAACATAAAATGTGTGTTTTTTTGAGATCTACAACTGTTGTCTAAAACTTTTTTCGAAATTTTTTGTTTTCTACGAGATAATCGCAAAAAACCATGACTTTATGGTGTTTTTTTTATGTTTTTTACCATGATAATCAAATTTGCGCCAATTTTCACTATCATTTTCGTAATCAGCGCACCAAAATACGTTAGTATACCAAGTTTTATTAAAATCGGAGGTACCCCTACTTCGGAAGTATATCCAACTATCTCAATGAAAAGATTGACTATTTTTCTACAAAACATATAATTTTCAGAGTGGGGCCATTTAAAGTTTTTGAGATATTAATTAAGGGGTTCCATAGGTCAAAACTGTCAGAAAACGTATGTTTTTTTATATTTTTTTTTCATATAATAAATAATTTTTTTGATTGGACCACTTTGGTTTCTTATAGTACACTATAATATGAATAATTTATAAAATTTTTGAAAAAAAATATTTAAAAAACAGGGTTGTAGCAACAGTTCCTTTGAGACCCCTTTCGAAAAAATTGATTTTGCGGTGGAAACGATATTTTTTGATTGCTTCATCTAAAATCAAAAACCATAATTTTTCTGTTAGTAGGTGAGTATAGCTCGTGATTGAACGAAGGGTTTTTGAAAAAATTTAAATTATGTCAAAATATACGATTTTTAGGACCATTCAGACCATGTAAAATCTGTTCTAATCAAGCGAAAAAAAAATCCTTCGTTCAATCACAAGTCAATAATATCAAGAAGAAGTGTGACAAAATTCAGGAAAATCGGTTCATTAGTTTTCGAGAAATCTTGACCACCGACTTCAAAAACATGGTTTTGAGAAAACAGCGTTCAAAGTTAGACGATATAAAATCCAAATTATTTTTCTATATTTCATCGGATTCTTTTGAAAATCATTACTCGGGGGTTTTTGGGGTCTCTGATTACGAATCCGGTGTCCGTTTTCCAAAATTAAAAATGGCGGATACAATATGGCGGGCGACTTTTTGAAAATCTAATGCAATTGGTTTGAAAATCGTTACTCGGGGGTTTTTGGGGTCGCTGATATCGAATCCGTTGTCCGTTTTCCAAAATTCTAAATGGCGGATCCAATATGGCGGGCGACTTTTTGAAAAAATCATTCGCATTTGTTTGAAACTTGTTACTCGGGGGTTTTCGGGGTCAAGCACGATGACTGTTGAAATTTTAAAATAAATCGAATTTAATTTAAATTTATTTTTAAATTAAATTTAGATTTCAACTTTTTTAACATTCATAATATAGAAAAAGATATTTTTTACTTACACAGAATCATCGATTCCAGCCCCATAAAGTAAAGTTCCTGCCGCAACCGCAATGTCCAGGGCATCCTTCTGTTCTTGCCTGAGACGGATTCTTGCCTCTCGAGTTTCAGCCTTAGCTTTTGTCTCTGCTGCAAGAATACGATTTTCGTCTTCCTTCTGCGCATAATTGTGACTATCTTGTCCAAGTTTCATATCAATTGCGTCTAAAAACATTAATAGGGCTGAGGTTCCTTCGTTAAAAGTGCAAGAAACGATTAATGCAGCTATTTCAACTATTTTCGTGCCAGCAGGAAGTACTTTTGGTGTGATTTTCCAAATCAATTGGTTTAGACTCTCGTTGTTATTTTGTGTAAAACCTCCAACACATCGCTCAAGAAGCTCATCCTTGCTGAGATCTTCATAGATGGGCTTGATAGCTAATAAAACATCATTTGGCAATGGACTATAAGCGTGTTTAAAAGTTGAGAGAGTTTTAGCAGCTGAAGCACGCTGCCAAGCGCACCATGAGTCAGGACGAGTCGGGCATTTTTCGTGCTGGGGATTTTGATCATTTGAGCTATAATAGAAGAAAGTTGCCCATATAGCGTCTTTCATTTTTTGCATTGAATCACAATTTCTTCTTATAGCTAACCCGTAATAAACTGTTAATTTATCGATTAGCTTACCGGTAAGCTTCCCTTTGCCAAAAAGTAGCTTTTTTTGAATCGTTTTACCTTTGGTTTTTATTTCTTGAACAGTTTTATTCACTAAATTGCGTAAACGGGTGCCCATTCTCTTTTGCACGTGTGCTATGCACTCTTTTTTTATTTGACAATTTTCTCCATAAGGTTTGGCATCAATAACTCCGGAATATGTTTTGGAATCTCTGTCTCCAATATTGGGAACTGCAGCACTACGATGTGCCCTCTGGTGGCAAAGCGTAGTATTAAAAAAACGAGGTCAGATTTAGTAAACATCACGTCAAAAAGCGACGTTTAATGTATTTTTATTTCGTAAAAGCAATTATTATTATATTATTTTAATATAATTAGTTTATTATTAAAAATGGGAGATTTCGGAATTAAGTTTGACCCAAAACAAACAAATGCTAAAAGATACTGTTCAGTTTATGGCTGTAAAAGCAAAGCGTGCAGGGATATCGAAATACGTTTTCATTCATTTCCTCAACTTAACAAAAGTTTCATTAAAATAATTATTAAATGTGCATTGAGGAAGTAGTGGATCGACGGAAGGTTTGGAAAAAAGTTTTACAAATGGGAAAAAAGATCACCCCAAGTATGTGTGTATGTTTCTTACACTTTAAAAATGATGATTACTCGATACCAACATGTAAGTATATTTATATAATTATAATATAAATTTTATTTATAGAACTGTTTAAGAAGAAATATATTATTATTTATTTTTTTTCATTTAATAATATATATGTAATAATAAAGAAATAATTTAATTTTAAGCATTTAATTTTTAAAAAATTTAATTCATAAAATTGAAGAACAAATTAATTAAAATATATTGAAATTATTTTTAAAAAACAAATATATAAAATTATTGACAGTAATTTTAGCACTAAATTTTAAAATAATTTAATTAATATTAATTATAATGATAATATTTTAGCTGATGAAGCAGGAAAAAGGTACTTAAAATCGTCTGCTGTTCCTTCCTGTAATTTGCCAAAATCATTAGTTGACACAAAATCTTCTAATTCAAAATCGGATTCTAAAAGAGAAGAAAGAAGACTGATGCGTGAGAAAAGTTGTATTGAAATTACGAGGAAAGAAGTAGAAAATAGTGCAACTAATTCATCGGAAATTGAATTCGAAGAAATAATTGAACCCGTAAATATCGTACCTGATAATTTTGAATACAACGTAGAACATCTTCAAGAAAAAAAGTTAGAGATTGTGAATAAACTTTCTCTAGTAGATGCAGCGATTCAAGTTACGAGTGGAGACTTGATTAATCCGAATTTTAGTTCTTTTATAACAACGGACAAGGAATTAAGTACGGCTACTGGAATTCCGAATCTTGAAATGTTGGATGCATTCATTAAAATTATTGAAAGAGTTGCTCCAACCTTTTC